GAACTATTTTATTTTGGTAATATTTACTTCATATTTAAGGATGATAATAAATAATCGAGATATTTTTGGAACTATTTTGTCACGTACGTTTCAACCTTATGTACCATCCTTAGAGCATAAAAATCAACCATTTATTTTTTTATAATGCATCTAAAAATATTAGATATATGTTCGTTCCGGCGTTTATTGTATTAAATAATATATTTTATATGATTTTAAACAAAGTTTATATTATTTATTTAGATTTTAGGTCATAATGTACCTCTGAATTTATTTTTTTGAGAATAATAATAAAATAATATTGACTACGGTGTTATAATGTGCGATGAATTACTAAAACCAAAAGGCGCTTCCAGTAAACTGGGTCAAGTAAATTTTTATTATGAAAAAACATGTTTGATCCGTTTTTGGGGGTCCTTAAATACGAATTTTTAAAGTACTCAATTTCAAATTTGAATACTTGATTTTCTTGGAGGATTTTATTTTCGACCATCAACGAAAGCATTCACAACTTTTCAGGATTTGTTTAAAAGCACAACAATAAGCCGAATTACTGCTCTTCCAACCCACGTCAATATATTTTATGTTTCATTTCTTTTTTGCCTTAGCTGGGCCCATCGAAATTTTGCCAACTACTCATGACGTTTCCATCAATTCATACAACAATAATTAAGTATGCTGGGTTCTATATGCTACATCAAATGGTACAAACTCAAACACCGTAAAAAAAAAAAAAAATAGAAACGGACATATAAAATTAAAATGTTTGAGAAGTCTTTCTTTATTTCTGTCTATAAAATGAATGAAACAAAAGTTATTTTTTAATATTTAATAGTTGACCGTTGCATTATAAAGGAAGGAGATGGTCCGGGGTTGAGGTCATAAATAGGCTAAATAGTGGTAAAACCATTTTATTGAAACGTCGGCTTTCAATAAAATAGTTTTACCACTATTTAGCCTATTTATGACCTCAACTCCGGACCATCTCCTTCCTGTAAAAGTTATTTTTTATTATGCTTGTTTGACCTTTGCTCTGCTTATAATGGTTGATTTGCCTATAGGTCAGAAATAAATTAATTAAAAGCTTGGGATCAAATATAACTTTTGATCAATTGATGTCTGACCTTTAGGCAAATGAATTATTATAAAAGTGATGTAGATTTAAAAAACAGTAATTCGGCATTCTACCGGTTGTAATAATGTTAAATTTTGAACAGTTATGAATGCTTTAGATGAGGGTCGAAAAAAAAAAACTCCAAGAAAATCAAGTACTCAAATTCACAATTTTTAATTTATATAAAAAATCTTTTAGAAGTGTCTTTAAGGACACTAAAAACGAACATAACTTGTTTTTAATTACAAAAATTTACTTGGCCCACTTCAATGAAACCTTCTTTTTGTCTTTGTAATTTATAGTACATTTTAACTCAATTAATACGATAGTCAATCCTTTCTTTCTATTCTACAAAAAAAAAGAAATTGAAATAAGAAAATCTGGAAAAAAAAACAAATCCAAAAATAAATAATTTCAATTTTGTTTGAAATTTTATAATTTTATTTTGTTGTTTTGCTATAGATGTTACATATTATACGGGATGTTACAGCAACTTTTTCCTGAAAATCGGCTAACTGGAAATGGAGCTTTATATCAATTATGCTACACATTTTTACGATTTTCTCAAAAACAGCTGTAACTATTTTGATTAAACTCGGTATATCAGTATTATTAAACAGTCTTTAATATGATGTAGGTCTTATACCCATTGATGTCACTTTATATGGATTCAATATCTAATGTTCAACACCTCTTCCTCTGAATACCTTAAATTGGATCTTAAAAATAGCTGAGTATAAACTATGAAAGAATTTGTTAATTGGATAAAAGAGAAAAATGTATTTTTATGTTAAAAATGAATTTCCGGAAATAACAGAATGAATATATAACTGCAATATATGGTTGGAAAGCTGAGAAATCTAGGAAAAACAAAATCCAGCATACAAAGCCGTCAAAGGTAATGGAGAGTGACTAAAAATTATAAATAATAACTTCTGAAAACTAATATTATTTAACGGAAACCACATGTTTTCAAGGAAATGAAATGAAATTTCTTAACTTAATGTTAGCTAAATTTAAAATTATACTTAATATTGAAAAAAAGGCTGTAAAATCCACCGAATCAAGGCAATGAAATCGTTAAAAAAAATATTTCATTGTACTTCTGTGAAAGAAGAAGTGAAATATAATGATTTTGCTCGGCTAATGTGGTCCATTGGAAGAACGGCGTTACATGTGGCAAATATATTTCGATGTAGCATTATGGAAAATATTTTTGTTGAAATCGTTGACCCACTGACTGTAAACTTTCCTTGTGTATCTTCAGAAGTTGCAGTGAGTCTTAGTAGGTAACAAATATTCTCGTATGCCTGGCTACTTATTACCTTCATTCATTATCACCAAGTCATTAAGAAGCTTGTACTGCCAGTAAAGTTTATTTCAAAGGAGGTTGGATAGAAGGAGAAGTTTCAAATAACTATTCCCTGCTCATCTCAATTCCTACCTCACTCAATATTCGAGAGGCTCGAAAAGGCCTGATCCTTGTCTGTAGCCAAGCTGCAAATAATTTGAATTTCCAGTCCATCTTCCAGCTTAGAGGCAGAGACAGGAGTCTGACGGGAGTAGCAGCAGCTTGAACCACAAGGACCAAATTGAAATTCTTTCTCTTTCATTTAACGGAAAATACACTTCAAGTTTCACTTTTGCTGTTGAGCGGATTTGATACAGTTACTAAGTATTTTAAAACTCTCAGATTATCTCTAAATTATGTTTTGACTCAAAGCATTCTATGCTGAATAGTCCATAGTCTTTTAGAATCGTAAAAAAGAATAAATTCTACCTTATTAGGATTGATAAATAGTCATGAACATGAACTTGCTATTTATTTAAGAACTGATTAAATCTATTAGTAATTTTCTGGTTCAAAATTAATCGACGAATTCAATCTGAAATTTCTAATATTTTCAATTGATATTTATTTAATTTTCATTTATTTATTAAAGAGTAACACCATTTTCTAAACTATATTACAACACACCAGACGAAAAAAACACAATCTGAAAGTTCTTCTTATTAAAAAAAAGTAGAGAAATACATAGAATAAATGTGATTTATATATATATATATATATATATATATATATATATATATATATATATATATATATATATATATATATATATTCTTTAAAAATAGTAACTAAAATTTTCAAGTATTATTAACCTTCATTTTTATCCACAAAAACGATTTTTTTTTTTTATCATTCGTGAAACGGACATATACTGTTAGTTTTCATATATCTTAGAGTATTCTATGAATTTTGGTTTGATTCTAAATATTATTTTAAAAAATGAGTTTCATGCCGCTGATTTGGCTTGATCCAGATTCCTACACTTCCATAAAAAAACTCTAGACACATCCGAAGCCATTTGTTTCCAACCTTGCTTCCTCCTCAATTCCTGATAATCCTTCTAGGCGTCTGAAAAGAAGACGTTCTAGGGATCTTTAAATTTGGAAATATTTGTTTTTAAAAATGTAATGCTCAATTCAAATAAATCTCATCAAATTACCTTTATCATTCGTCGTTAACCCATGACTTCCTGTCCTACAGCATTCCTTAATAATGATCCACTAATCCCTGTAGAACAAATCAGATATCTAGGACACCACTCGTACAAGCGTCTCACTTCGAATACTCATAGTAAAACCACAAGAAAACGCTCGACGTTCCCGACTACTCCCGCACTTAATAGACAAACGTTCTAAACTTTCACTTCATTACAAAAGACTCATAAATATGACAATAATGAGGCCTATTTGGAGTTGAGCTATGGGGCTCCACTAAACCATCTAATTCCTCACGTATCCAATCCTTACAATCCAAAATCCTTGGTAAAATACTCAATGCACCTTACTTTGTCAAAAATAAAATCTCCATAACGACCTTAATGGGCCATATGTTTCCAATTTGGTCCAATCCAGATACCTATCCTTCGATAATAAACTTCAGAACCATCCGAACCTCTCATTTTTAACCTTGCTTTCACTATGATCCCAGAGAAGTGGGTATTTTCTCAACAAGTGTTTTCATGTTATAATTCTCTATTATCACCTTTACTGAATGTGTTTTTATTATAACACATCGTATATATATATATATATATATATATATATATATATATATATATATTTTTTTTTTTTTTTTTATTATATATCGTAAATATCATAAATAAAAAATAAAATAAACAAAAAAATGTTATGCACTAGTAACTTATTGCTTCACAATTTAAGATTATTATTATTATTATAATGGCGCTACGGTTCTGCAAGAACCCGGGTCTCCTCTACTACAGCCAACCAATCTCCACGCTCTTGTGCAACTTCCCTTCATCTTCGAACGCCTAGCCGCCTCAGATCGTCCTCAACATCCTCCAGCCATCTGATCCGAGGGCGCCCACTACTTCTTTTGCCATCCGGCTTCTCATGCAGCATCTTCCTTGGCATTCTTTGGTCTGGGGCATTCTTTCCACATGACCTAACCATCTGATTGTGGCTCTTTTTATCAATGCTACAATATCAGGTTCACCATAGAGTTCCCGCAGCTCCTCATTCTTTCTTCTTCTATAAATTCCATTCTCAAAGATTCCGCCCCATATTCTTCTCAATACTTTCCTCTCCCAGGAGTTGAGCGTGCGTTCTGAGTTTTTGGTTAAGTTCCAAGCCTCACACCCATACATAACCACTGGTCTTGCTATGGTTTTGTATATAAGAATTTAGATTCTTTTAGAGAATTATCTCAACTTCAAGTCTCTTTGCATTGAGATTTAAGATTACTAAGTAATAAACTAAAATTATAAGTTGATTTTTGTTTGCACTTTCAAATCATTGTATTTATTAAAATTATTTCCACCTTTACTATTTGCTAACTTGTGCCTCGACTTTACAGACTGGCTTCCAGCTGCCGGGTATCCTCGGAGGATGGCGACCCGATCTGCAGGGAAAGCAGCGTCCGGACTCGCCCCGCCAGGACACGGACCGCGATGTCCACGTCCGGACTCCATACGGCGAGGTCCAAGGGTTCAGGGTCTACCTCTACGACGACCCTTTTCCCGAAAGAGGGTATAGACCCATTTCGACTGTTGTAGAGAGGGTCCGAGGAAACGTCTCAGTCTTCCTGGGGATACCCTACGCCCTACCACCCGTCAAGGAGGGAAGATTCAAGGTGAGTGAAATTAATAATATTTATAGATTAAGTAAATATAATATTCAAATATATAATCCAAAGTTCAGGCCTTCATCTAAGAACAGACCAGATAACAATAAGTATGAGAAACTAAAAACTTATGAAAAAAAAATGAAAAATAATATTACTATAGTGTTAGGAATACATGGAAAAAAAATTCTAGTAATATCTTTTAGGTCGGTGCCATTTTTTAAAAGTTTTTATAAAATATTAGGCCAAGACGTTTGGGCTTCAGGAGCCATATTCAAGATCCTGCAAACTAATTTTAATTCAGTTGTTATACTTCAAAATACATCCTTATGAAACACATATTAATTTAACAACAATCCGTTATATAAATAGTCCAAATTCTATTTTATAAAAAAAAAACTGTGTACATTGGTGACCTTTGGCCTAATATTTTATAAAAACTTAGGAAAAAAAAATTAATAAAAGTAACAGAGAAACTTATAAAATCAATAATAACGCCAATGAAGTTTTGAGAAAATGAAATAAACTTGTTTACTTTTTTAAAAACTTGTTTAAATAAACTAAGATGGGGACTAATGAAATAAGCATAATAAAATTAGGTAACAACAAAATTAATTAATTGTGGATTGATGGTTGACTGTAGTGAATAATTGAAGACAAGAATGATTGGGATGGCCAGTCAAAAAAAAGTAAAAATAAATAAGTGTGTATATATATATATATATATATATATATATATATATATATATATATATATATATATATATATATATATATATATTGTAATAAATATACTTATTTATTTCAGCTTTTTTTTTTTTTTTACTGATCAACCGAACTATTCTTGTCTTTGAATAAAAAAATTAATCAACAAAGGAATGTAATGGAATATTATGATATAAAAACATAAGTAATAGGTAAATAGGCTGACGTAGTTGCTAAAATATGATATCTTAAAAATCTAAAAAGAAGTGAGATATACAAAGAATAATATGTAGAACACAGAAAATTTCCATTATTATTTATTTCATAAATTCCCCTCTGCTACTGTTATTATTTTTTTCATATATTCCTAACGTTATTGTTATTAATATTATTTTGTCTTTACCTGTTCCATAAGTTAATAGTTTCTTATAGCTATTGTTATCTGTTATTTTCATAACCCTAATGAAGGCCTGAACTAATTAATTACTTTTTCTATCTGGTACCCAAATTTAACATTAATAGACTATATTTTCTTTTTTATTTCTTTTTTGAGTATTATAACAATCTGTCTCTTGGACACTAGACTATATTAAGGAATAAAAATACCTAGAATTAGTATTCCGTTATTACTGATGGTTAAAAGATTTTCCGCCTTTTGCTTTTTTGTTGTTTAGTTTTATTCCAATTCCTTATTTATGTTAGTGATTCTCATATATTAAGACTTTTATGCACTTTTATATATTTACCTATTGTGACTCTTAAACTAACAGTCGAAATATGGTCCTCTTTGATCATCTTGTTTAGCTCATGGTCGAGTGCACCAGACTCCAATATCATTGATTGGTTCAATATTAGCCAATGTCTCTTAAGGTTATTTTTCTTCAGAGTATAATCAGCTTATGGGGTCCAGCGAAGGCCCTTTTAGCAACTTCTTTAAAATAATTGAATTGACTGAAAGGAACACTCTTATTTACGAATTTTTCAATATCTTTTAATTTAATCGGAATTTAAAATAATTTTAGAGAAATTTCATTAATTATATAAATATTTTTCATTTAAAAATAAATTTAGGCGATTATAAAATGTTTAATATTGTATAATTTTGTATAAGATAATTTTAAAAGATTCCGTGGTAGTCTATCTTTGGTAGAATCAGAGACGTAGACTCTTCAGGAGGATGAGGGAGAAGATTGTACCTCTTTCTCCCCGCAATAAAAATAGGGGGAGGGGACAAGAATATCGTTTCCGCCCCCTCTACAAAAATTTCGAAGAGCAAAAATAAAACCAATAAAAATTAATTTTCACAATATTTCTCCAATTCTTCCAATAACTCCATATATAATATTGGGAAACATCATTGTATATGTTTAAAGTAAATAGTCTTCCCCTACTCCTTTAAGAATAACCAGTCACGAAACTGAAATGAGGCTGATGAGATGTCTGTGACACAACATAAGGTAATTTTAACTTATTTGAATCATTTAATAATAAATAATTGAGTAATAATAATGTTATAAAATAATTATAGGTGGACATGACAAAAATAAATTTTTTTTACATGAGTAGATGCATGAAATTCGCATAAGTTGAAAAGGACAGGTACATGATGGGTATTTTAGGTATATAAAATGAATCTCTATATGTTGAAGTATGTAATGTTTTAAATATGACTGTAAATTGTAAACAATTTTTTAGACTTGAAAATGGCTCAACGAGCCGAAACGTCGTAATCAGATGTGTAATCATTAAGTTGACAAATTTTTTTTTTGAAAATTGGTGTAAAATGGCTGAAAATAAATAAACTTGAAAATAAAAATTAATGTACATGAATAAATAAAAAATGTAAACTAACCATGATTTAACCACCGGTTCGTAAAAGATTGAACTGAAATGTATAGGTAAAATGTAGCTCTCGCTTGTTGGGGGGCTAATTATTTTTAAAAGTTTATTTATTCAGGAGTAAAATAGAAACTAATTATCCTGAGTTAAAATGGATTACTTCAATTGTAAGTAGGAACAGGCCAAGAGAACCTACAGTAGTTGCCTAGTATGTATTTCAAGACTGACGTCTAAGTTCAACTACTTACTATGAGGTCTGTAACGCAGTTAGTTCAGTTCGTCGGCTTTACGTTAGTTTCATGTTCCTCACCTCTAACTGCAAAGGTAAAGCTTGTTACTAACAGACTGGAGTGTTAATTCCTATTTTATCAGCTGGAATAATAGAATTTCATCTTTCCAATGTATATAACGTGCATACATATTTACATTTCATGTACCATTCCATTACCTTAAAACTCTAAGGATTTTTTTTCAAATAGTTTTATTTTTACACAAAGTTTTAAAGTTCTAATTTTGTGAATTGTATTGGTCTAAAAATATGTCGCAAAATAAATAAGGAATATTATTATTTAACTTAAAATATCATCATATACATAGGAAAAGACAATCAATTCTGTTCTGGTTTTCAACTGATTTTATTTTTTAATTTTTGGTTTAGTTGCTTTAAAAAAAATATATGAAAACAGAGGACATAAATAAAAAAATGTTTTTTTATTTATTTATAAATATAATGATCTGTCACGGGGACAATAATTATAGTGAGATATGAACACATTCACACCATATATACACAAAAAACAGGTATTCGAAAATAAAATTCTGAATCCATCGTTTTTTTTTTTTTTTTTTGAGTTCCTAACAAGAAGACTTTAGCCAAGTTTCATTAAAATCGTTACAGCCATAATTGGCATATTGTCATATTATGGTTACAATGTTCGGTTGAAATGAACCGACCGAAGGAGCAAAGTAGGTTGAAACATATTTTTATATTGCTAATATATTAATATGGCCATATATTGATCACTTTCCGATTATTAAAGGAAATATGGTAAACAAACGGTTCCATTCACTATCACGAGTCTCCCACACGTGGACTTTATTACACTACACGTGGACGTTCATTGGATTAAACTTACCAAAAGATATAATTCAATTTTTTCCTACACTTATAACAAATGATGGGCTATGCAAACTATGCATGCAGAGCATTGGAATTAAAATTTCAAATAAATATGGCAAATATAACACTCCTACAAAAATCAGATAGGGAATTTCTAAATTTATACAATGATGTCAACCAATATAAAAAATTATTAACATTGAGCAACCCCGACGAAATCATCAATGTTACGCAATATTTTTATTCAATTAATGGATATACTTAAAATGAAAATAGTGAAGAACAGGAACACAACTAAATAATTTTATATGAAAAATTAAAAAAGAAAAAAAAACTCAAAATGATACTGCACTCTTTTATTTTGTAAGTAATTATATAATTTTTAAGGTTAAGGCAATTAAACTTCCATTTTCCCAATAATTCTAAAGACATGATGATGCTCTGGATATTATATACTTTAATTTCTTATAACATGAATTTAGAATCTGACAATGGAGCACATTAGACTTAATCCATGAATCAACAAAGAAACATGGGATTGTAGTTCTGAAGATTTGAGTAAATATCCCGAAACGTAAACATGAAACCTTGGAAATACAACATATAAATCACTTGTTGTTTAACTGGAAGTTATTATTGTCAAAAACAGAGTATAATTTTTAAAGTTAAGGCCATTAAACTTCCATTTTTTCTTTAATCTTTTTTAATCACGAATGACGTTTCAGGATAATTTTCCCATCTCCAGAGATTCCTTTATATTTACTTGACTTTGTAATGTGGCACCAATTGTCAAAAATTGGTGCCAACTGGTCATATCTGTATTTAAATATAATACTTTTTTCGGTGTTACACATTCATTTTCTATATATAACTATACCAAACAACACTTGTTGGTTCCAATTGTTTGTTTAAATATTTTTCTTGGAATTTTTTTTAATGCAACCGGAGAAGTCTTTTTTTTTACCCAATCGGATTTCGAGAAAGATTCTAAAACTAATATATCCCCCCAACTGATGTACCCACCGCTTTCCATCTCAAACCCTTAGGCATTATTGAACCAGGCCACGCTCATCCCCGATTGCCAAGTCCTTCACTAACAAAGTCCACTCATCCCAAAGCCCGCTTGGAGCGGTCGCTTAGCCGCAGGTACTTAAGTGCTTGTAGAACTCGTGTTTGCTCCAAAGGACCGCGTGTTCCCACTCACTTTCATTTTCATGATAAAACCTTTAGCTTTATTCAATATTTGGAACCCACTCTATATAGAGCTCATCAATGCATTACCTCCTCCAAACTGATGTAAACTCAGATTCATTCGTAACAGGATATCCCGTAAAGTAAAGAGAAATAATTAAAAGAGTGAGAATAGATCTTAAGAGCTATTATAAAGTTTATATCAACCAATGTACTTGGTTTTGAAATAGAATACTTTATTTGCCGCAGAAAATTATAGATCTGTTGTTTTTTTTAATAATTTGTTGTAGGTATTTTTGTTTAAAACACATACTCTGAGATGCCAGAATAATTAACATTTTTTTATACATCTAGAGGTGAATCTCAATTTACTCGGCAACAAATCTCAATATACTTATTATGGACTTATTGCTTGTTAAACAATCGAGTTTTTACAAAACTTGGTTGTGGTGATATTTCTTCACTATATTATACTAGTAGGCCCGTGCAAAAAATTCGTACAGCATATTGTTAAGTGATCAAATGCCAAAATAATAATAAAATAAAATAATGCAACGTATCATAAAATAAAGACATCAATTGTTACTATCAATTATCGGTAAATATAATCGACAAAGGAAACAAAAATTAATTTGAAACTTCATTGATGTTTGGAACTAACATGTTTACAAATTTCAATAAGCTTTATCTTTGCTAAAAATTGTCCGATTTCGATGATTTTTTTTTCCTTTTGAAGGGAATTTCGTAATCTTTTAGTAAAGGTGTGATTTTGTTTAGTTATTCGCAATAAAGATTCATTTCTTTCATAACTTGTTTGCTTGAATTTTCGGGGTGATCGGGCTATTTTGTCCCCCTGAAGGAGAAGGAAGCTTTCAAAATTGGTGGCTCAATCTTGGGATTTAGTGAAGAATTAATGATGATATGGCTTGCCGATCAAAAACGCCATCGATGAATAATATTAACTCATCCTCTCTCGATCATAGAGACCTCAAGGCGACGAAATGAGACATTCATTCAATGGCAGTACTACAATTAACGTAAGGTTGTGTGGATGCGAACCCTATACCTTGCGTTATCTCGAGAATAGTACGTTTTGGAGCTTAAAAACGCAAGATCTTATAGTTCCGAAGGTAGTGTGGGTTTTGCAGTATGCATCAAAATCTTCAAGATCCAATTTGTCCCGTATCGATCTACAGACCTACCACATTTTCAGTATTGAAGCCTAGCAAAATGTTTATATCGACTTTATTTATTTTAGAAAGAAAAACAAAAGTGGAGAATACGATTCGCTAACCCCTCGTGAAATTCTGAATCCAACGGTACCCCATTAATATGCATTTGAGCACGATAGGAGCTTATATTTGGTACAAAACCGATCTCGAGCCTTACTGTAATAATATATGTGGAGATTATTGTTGAGTAGTGTATACCATCAATAGTTAAAATGACTTCAGAAATAAATAGAATGATAATTTTATTTCAAAAATTAATAAAATACTTTCGTTTAAATACAGTGACGAAATCAATGGCCCACGTGCGTTGGAAGTATCTTTTTTAAAGCATTGTCGTTTAAAATTGATAAAATATTTTATGTCTCGGTTATGAGAAAATCCGAGAAAACCGTTTATAAAAAAAATAAATAATAATAAACGATCCCTCAAATGAAATTTCGTTCTATTGAAAATTCGTTTCGTTGAACAAATAATATAACATCGTTTTTAAATTCAATTGAAAACTCAAATATTTCATATATATGTAACAAATAGGAATAGAAGGAGAAAATGATAACCAT